ACTTTTCCTACTCTAGGTTGCTTCATCTAAAAAAATGAACTTTTTTTTTAATTTTGGAATAACACTAAATACATAAATGTTTCCAAACATAATTCAAATAGGCCACCCTTTAGCATGCATGATATGTACGTGTGTGCGTTTGTATATATGTGTATATATATACATGCACGTATGTGTATTTCTATATGTATGTATATATATTTTGCGGGTTTGTGATCTTCAATACAGGAATCCAATTTTTTGTTATTTTAGAAATTTTCTTAATTCTAGAAATACTAGTGTCTTTTTTTAGTAGTTCATGACTTTATTTTAAAATTTTTGCTATAAGTGGGTTATAGCCTATCTTTAATTACTTATGACAATAAGATCATCTAATATTTTCTGACTTGCAATTAAAATTTGGGAAAGATAATGTTCCATGATTAAGAAAATTAGTAAAAAAGAACTAAACCTCTCAAATTCCTTCAAAACATCATTAATTTTTGTATTTTAAGAATTTGATCTATTACAAATAAATCTCTCTCTCTCTCTAACACACGCACACACAGACGCAAACATACATGCAAACACCCCTGAACCGTGACCAAATTTTATTCTTTAAGTCTTTATTTTTCTTTTTCATTCATTAAACCTAATGTATATAAAATATTATGTGTAGTATTTTTTTTTTGTAGATGTTTAATGTTATTTCAATATCGAGTTATTTGGTCTCCTGGTTCTATCTCACAAACGCATTAACACACTCTATAGTGTTCCTATTTGTCCTCTGTGTAGTAAATAATAATGTTTTATGATAATCTTTTTCTGGATTTCTTTGTTAACATCTTAATATAGGCCAAAAAAGAGTAATAGTATTTAATTTTAATACAAGTTTTTAGTATTACATCAATATTTTATTTTCTCAACATAAATATGATTCGTGCAAGGGATTATGTCTATCCCACCAAACATAGCACAATAATTTGGGTTGTGTTCGGGTTATAAATTTTGACAAGGTTAACTAATTATGTTGTGTTTTGATGGACAAAATTTTATGACAGTTAAATTCGACATGCTATGAATTTGACCCGATAATTCCAATTGCCAAATCTCATCATTCGTAAGGATGCATATAAGTAGAGAAGTAATGCTTCTTAAGTCTAATTAATTTATTCAATTCATTGTTGTTGCCAAACTATAGCAGAAAATCTTAATATTGGACGTAGTCCCTTGTCAATGCACGGACAATAATACATTATACAAGTAAATTATGTCAAAAAAATTGCAACAAGTACTAATGCTGTGTTTCAAATACGGACTCGACTATAGTACTAAATTTCTTTTTCGGTATCATATCTCCATTTATCGATAAAAATACTCACAAATGTAATAAATTACCCACAAAAAAAAAATTGTATTGAAGAAAAGTGGTAAAAATTAAATATTATACTTAGATAAAAAAAAATCAAATCAAGTTTAAAATGTTATACTTAGGCAAAAAATATTCCAATCAAATATAGAATATCAAATATTTTAAATTTTATAACCAAAATTCATGTTCTATTGTATCATTTATTGAAATAAAATAAAAATAAAAGTATAATTTTTTCTTAAAAAATCGTAATTAATATACAATTATACTATATATTGAAATAAAATTAAAAAATCAAATAAGGGGTCTAAATCATTCATAATAGAACATGAAATTAAAATTCATGTTTAAATATGTTATTTATTAAAATAAAATCAAAAATAAAAATCTATTTTTAAAAAAAAAATCATAATTAATATACAATTATATTATCTATTATAATAAAACAAAAAATCAAAAAAGGGATCTAAGTCATTCATAATAAAATACTAATTTTAAAATCAAAATTCATGTTCTATTATGTCATTTATTGAAACAAAATTCAAAATAAAAATTTAATTTTTTCTTAAAAAATCATAATTATTATACAATTATATTAGTTATTGAATAAAACTAAAAAATTAAACAAGGGATCTAAGTCATTCATAATAGAGTATCAATTTTACAACAAAAATTCATGTTCTATTATGACATTTATTGAAATAAATAAAAAAAATCTAATTTTTTCTCAAAAAATATAATTAGTATACAATTATACTATCTATTAGAATAAAACTAAAAAATCAAACAAGTAGTCAAACTGTAAAAGACACAATATCTTCTAACTTTAATTAGGATAATTTGGTAATTTAATTTTCTTTTTTAAATGACAAATTAAATTCCATATATAATATAATTGTATATTAATTATAATTTTTTAAGAAAATAATAGATTTTTATTTTTGATTTTATTTCAATAAATGTCGTAATAGAACATGAATTTTGGCTATAAAATTTAAAATATTTGATATTTTATCTTTTAATTGAAGTATTTTTTACCTAAGTATAACATTTTAAATTTAAGGGGTCTAAGTATTATACGTTTACAAATTTCACAGGGTCTAAGTGTAATTTACTTATGGATATATTAACAGGCATTGATATCGTTGTCTAAGTATTATATACGTACAAATTTCAGGGGTCTATGTGTAATATTTTAAATGTCAAGGAGTCTGAGTGATTAAAGGACAAATTTCAGGAGATCTGTGTATAATTCTCCCATAATTTTATTATGGGATCCGAATAATATTTCATCTCTAAAATATAACCAATTAATTGTTTTGTTTCCTTTACTTGTTTTACTATAAAAACCAAAACAATTTACACAAGGGAAGTATAATAGTTTTAAATTATTTCATTTCTATTTGCTCGATTTTTACAAATTATTTATTCAATTTCCATGTAGTCCCTTCAAGTATGAAAAATAATGTGTCCACCCCTTAGCTATATACTTAATACGAATATAACACATAAACACCCTATCATTTGTTAACATATTATGCATCAATAATACCCCCAAATTATATTTTTTAATAGCCAGTATAACATCTATAATAATAAAACAAAGGCTCCTGCTTGAGTTGTTTAAGCTCCTCAATTAGAAAAAGCACAAAACAGTCTACATTATTTTGATGTCACAGTTTATATTACGATTTAACTTTTTAATCACGATAATTCATTTAAATTTAAATTTTTAATCACAATAACTTACTTAAATTATAATTTTTTAACCACAATACTTCAATCCGTACATTAAAAAAAAACTATTTTACACAAAACACGACTAGTGTTTGATAAAGTGTTGAGACTTTCACATTTGCATTTTAATTTTAAGTTGGGTTATTTGGAAGTCGGTACACTTTATTAAACTTATTTAGCAAAAAGTACATAAAATAAAATGTGAGTTAAAAATACATAAATGCCTATTTTATGATCATTTAATTCAAAATCTCTTATCTTTAATGCACCTTAATTCATGTGTGTTTGTTAATACATATAAATACGTATTTAATGCAACTTGATTCATGTGTATTTGTTAATACATGTATATATATATATATATGAATACACACACACACACACACACACATATATATATATATATATTTGTTGTTAAATCTCTTATTTAAATTTTGAATTATCTTTAATGCACTTTTGATTCATGCACATTATTTTTTTTAAAAGTGATTTTGTTTTTAAATTATATTTAATGCGCCTTGATTCAAGCGTTTTTTTTTTGGAAATAGTTTTATTTTCAAATTAATTTAGTATCCGAATAATATAATAGTATAACAATAACAATGTAATAATAACTGTGTAACAAAAATAGTGTTCAGTAGTTTTGTGTATATGGTAACAAATTCAAAACGGAGATAAACTATTTAGAATGAAATTATATGAAACTATATGTTTGAAAAAATGTAATAGTAGAATATTTTATGTAAATAGTTTGTTACACTATTATTGTTATACTGCTATATTGTTAGTGTTGCACTGTTACACTTTTATTGTTACACTATTATTGTTACACTGTTATTGTTACACTATTACACTATTCGGATATTAAATTAATTTAAAAATAAAATCACTTTTAAAAAAAAATGAATGAATCAAGGTGCATTAAAAGATAATTCAAAATTTAAATAAGAGATTTAACAACAAGTATATATATATATATTTGTTTGAATTTCAAAATTTATATTCATGTATATATATAGATATGTATTAAAGTTTTCCTATAAAACTAGGAGATGTTTAATGCACCATTTTCCAAATAAAAGTGGTGCATTAAATACACATGGATTAATGGAGGACAAAAATGTCACAATAAATATCAAAATTAAGTATCAAAATTAAGTATTTAATAATACTACATTTTTTAGTGTGTACTTTTTGCCAAATTAGTCTAATTTGGTATACTTTTTTATAATTTACCCTTTCAAGTTTCTTAACCGAAAGGACCGATTAGGTCCATGGAACTGTTCCTTGGCCTAACCCATTGGCTCACAACAATGATCCGTTTAAAAACCCATTAGGATCAGCCGATGCATAAGGCCGGTCGGCCATTCTTCTAACAGTGGGCCTTGCCCTTGCAAACATTTGGTCGGCTTACTATGCTAGTCTATTTGTGATGTAATTTGTTGGAAAGGGGAAGCTTTGGGTTTTCTATAACATCTATTGAATTAGGATGCAATATAGATTCCAATCAATAAAATCATCATTTTTTATTGAAAAAAAAACAACAACCGACATAATGAAGGTCCTCTATTTGGTTCAAATAGAGCAACCTATAATTGATAGTAATATGTGATAGCTAACTCACATCAGTTACTTTAGTGGTTGAATAAAAGTTAAAGACGTGAATTTATATTTCTTGATTTTGAGTTTTATTTTGTAGCATAAATTGCAGGTAATATTGACGTGCATGTTTTTCAGATGATTGCATACATTGAATGTGTATATGTTGTAACTATGGGTCAAACAGATGCGTAGATGATTACAAACTACCCTTGTTAAATACATCAAAGACTTGAACTCTTAACATATGACTTGGAATAATGTAGTACTTGCGATCGATCCATGACCTTCTTAACCACACAAGTCCAAAGAGAAGCATTCATTATATAAAACTGGCCTTTCTTACACACAATATTTATAAATACATAATAATAATATCCTCCTTTATTCTTTAGGTTATTATACACTAAAGAGCTACGTGCTCAAAACCATAATACAATATACCAATTTTATTTTAAACATCACCAATCAACCTCAATTGGTGTAAATTTCTGAATTTTGCAGCTTCATGTGCTCCAGATATGACTTCCCATCGAGTTTACGAGAGAAGAAGTCTTTAAAGTAGTTCTCCATTGTAACAGTTCTAAATAATGGAGGGTTATGTGGATTTATAAGATTGTTTGCTGGTCCAACCTTTGCTTCAAATTTAGGGTTGAAGAACATGGCAATGGAGATCCTTTCTTTTACTGCATTCACCATAGCCCTGTGCTCTATGCTGTTGTAAATACCATTGCTGAAGATCTGCATAATCATGTAATAATAGGAAAGTAAAACTGCACGTAGTTTATGCCCCATTAATGTAATACTGGCACTTTTCGAGCAAAAAATGGTGAATTGGGAAGTTGGGCCTATCAATAGACTAGATTCTTATTCAAATTTGATCCGATGTGCATACGAAATATGGTTGAAACGGATATGAATTGTTTTGTAGACCAATTATCCAAATCCGAGCTATATCATATTTCATGCATTCAGATTTAGATTTATCAGTATCCAATTCGATAGTAATTCAATCCGAATTATATATGAATACGTGAATGTATTTATGTAATTGAATGATTATATGATAAAATTAAATCAAAACTTAGCAGTGATTTTCCAAAATCAACTATAGTTTAATTATTCGAATTAGGTTGGATATTCAGTTTTTCGAGTTCTTTGGTCTCCTGGTTCTGTCTCACAAACACATTCACACTCTATGATAATAATGTTTAATTTGTCCTTTGTGTAGTAAATAATAATGTTTAATGATAATCTTTTTCTAGATTTCTTTGTTAACATCTTAATATAGGCCACAAGTTTTTAGTATTACATCATTCTTTTTACAAGGTTAACTAATTATGTTGTGTTTTGATTGACAAAATTTTGAGAGAATTAAATTCGACACACTATGAATTTGCCCTGGTAATTCCAATTGCCAGCCTCATCATTCGTAAGGATGCATATAAGTAGAGAAGTAATGCTTCTTAAGTCTAATTTGTTTATTCAATTCATTGTTGTTGCCAAACTATAGCGGAAACTCTTAATATTGGACATAGTTCCTTGTCAATGCACGGACAATAATAGAGTAAATAAGTAAATTATGTCAAAAAATTGCAAGAAGTATTAATACTGTGTTTGAAATAGGGACTTGACTATAGTACTAATTTTTTTTTTTTTTGGGTACCATATCTCCATTAACCGATAAAAACACTTACAAATGTAATAAATTACCCACAAAAATGAAAAAAAAAATTGTATCGAAGAAAAATGGTAAAAATAATTACTACAAAAATGATAAAAATACCCACAAAATTGATAAATCACCCACAAAAATACTAATTTTTTGATTATAAAATGACCCACAAAATTATAAAAATACCCATTAAAATTGGAGTTAAATTACCAAAAATTTTTCTTCGCTAGTCAAGTCTTTGAAATTGATTTGGAAACACAAGAAAAGATTTAAAAATGACGGGAAGGATATCCACCAGGTAGATCAACTAGACTAAGTACTAGTACAGTATTATTATGTACGTATATTTTCATGAGAGAGAGAGAGAGAGAGAGAGAGAGAGAGAGAGAGAGAGAGAGGGGTATGGCAAACCTCAAAAACGTCTCCCACATTGACAACAAAGGCATCTGGGAGGAACTTAATAGGAAACCAAACTCCATCCTTTTTAATTTGGAAGCCTTCCACTCCATTGATTTCTAGGAGGATTGTAATTCCAGTAGCATCTGAGTGAGGATTGAAGCCCGTCACTAGCTCTGATTGTGGGCATGGAGGATAGTAATTCATCCTCACTGCTTGCATCCCATCCTCAAACATCTCTTCAATCTCTCTCTTATCAATCTTTAGTGCTACTGCCATCAATCCAAAGATAGTCATGGCAAGTTTTTGCAGCTCTGATAGATAAGACTCAATTGTATCCCTGCAACGAATCAGAGATCAAGATGATAAACGTGTCAAGCTTGATATTGAACACGAGTCTAAATTTTAGTTTACACTTGAAGACAAGTCTAAGATCAGTATGTTTAATCAGATGAGATTGAATTGACCCAAGTTTGAATAGTAAGTTAATGAGTCCGCTTCAATAAAATATTTGAAGCTCGTCACGATCCCTAACACTCTTCAGGAATCATTGAGCCCCAAAACAGCATGGTACTTGTTTAGCTTGACTCAGTATATTTCGACCCTTACATACCTTTTTGGATGCTTAGACAAGCATCCATGATACTTATATATATATATATATATATATATAGAGAGAGAGAGAGAGAGAGAGAGAGAGAGAGAGAGAGAGAGAGAGAGAGAGAGAAAACCTAAGTGATATAGGGAGCTCGGGCAACAGGTGTGGTTTCCTCCTATGGAGGGGGTTGGTTATCATATAAAACCTATCTCCCCAGTTAGCCTTTTGATGTTCAGACTGGATCATGGTAGAACCATACCCTTCAACATCACCAGGCTTCACCTTGAATTTCTCTTCCACAGGAAGCTTGTAAAACTCTTCAATATCATGTTTCAGTTTTTCAACCAGCAAAGAGCTAACTCCATGGTTCACCACCTGTAGATGTTTCAGAATTGTTAGGATTTATGATATTACTACCATATTTCTGTTGTGTATCTTACGATAAAGATTTGAGTGAGGACTATCACATGAAGTAACCAAAGAAAATATTGAGGAGGAGGAGGAAAACCTGAAAGATGCCCAAGGTTTTGCAGATTGAGTGCAAATTTTCCAGTTCTAAATCCTTGGCTTCTCCTATAATCAAGTTTTTCATGTCAACTATTGGCAAGGAAAAGCTATCAGAGAGAGCAGTAGGTTCTTGATGAGCTTGAACATAGTGGCGTGGGATGGCAATCAGGGGCTCTTTGGCAAGCTCCTGAACGCTCGGTAATGTCTTATCATTCACTGCCTCAGAGGATGGCATTGCCCAGTTGTAAGTGTACCGATTCAACCACCTTAAAATGAATATTTATAAGCCCGGATAGCCGAGTGGAAAGGGGTCAGTCTGGGAAGAACCCTCGATCTAGATGTTTAGGTGTTTAAGGTTCGACTCTTGCTGGTGCTTATAAGTTTTAACCGTTATCTTTAGTTGACGAGTGACTGCAGGTTTACATGTGGTGGTTTACCTCTGTAGGGGTGTGTTAACAATTAACTCCATGTTTTAGAGATTTATTGGAAAAAAAAAAAGCCCAAGTGGCCGAGTGAAAAGGGATTTAGTCTAGGGACGAGCCTTCTATATTCGACTCTTGCTAGTGTCTGTAATTTTAATCAATATATGGGTGATTCTAGGTATTCATCCAGAGTTTATTTCTAGAGGATTTTGTCCAATGTGACTTCACATTAAATAGGTTTTGTGGAACTTTGGTGGGTTGAGGGATTAACTTCAATCAAGTTCTATGTGTAAAATTTTTAACTCTAACCCTTACTCTAATGTTAACCTTATTTTAACCGGAGATACTCAACGAGTATTGTCCGAATTGATTTCGAGCAAGCTTAAATTGAAATCATGTTAGCTAATTTAGGCCCAATTCGGGCTCAACAAATAATAATCTTAAAAGAAAATTTGGAGGTCGGTCATCTTATATGGATTCATTTGGTGATAAGTCCGTCAAAGAAACTTATTTGGTTTTAAGTCCGTTTTTTATCAATTTTACTATTGTAACCCTTTCCTGTAGGAATGTTATAAACGACGTTTATGACCACATTAACTAGCTATATACATCTCCACAA